CAGCCGAACTGCAGAACTGCAGTCAGCTGAAGTAGCCTGCAGTGCTGCATTTAACCACTGCGCCACCTTGGCTCTTATAAAAGACTTGAGCTGTGTTTGTCCATGCACTGACCCACAAATTGGCCAACTATATTTTAGCCCAGTGTGTATTGGGCTGAATTCAGTCTCTGTGGTTAGTTCAGTGTGTTGTGCAATCCTTAAAAAGTGAATTCGTGGATAAACTATGGTGTGCGAGTACATTTAAGCCGTCTGTTCAATTTTTGGTCATAGGAAAAAATTTATATGCAAAAGCTCAACTATTCTGTCCTGAACATATTCAGTTGTGCTGTCTTGCATTGGGATAAGGCTGTATCCCTTTTCTAATGCCCCAGAAGATCATGTCTACTCTCTGGGCCACATCCTGTTGGTTGATTGGGATGTCCCCACCTCTCCACAAACTGTGACCTAACCAGCTGTGGGCTCCCTCCTCCCTTCCTCCTGCGCTGCCCTTTAAAGTAGGCAATCTGCCTTAATCCTCAACCCAGTAAGGGAACGGAGGGAGAATGACGGAGAGGGAGCAAATGAGCACGAAGCAGACACAAGGGGGAAATCTGGTTACTTTCTGAAAAACCCCTACAGTGAAAGCAGGAGGTGCATCTGGGGACTGGTACTCCCTTTTCATGAGGCCATTAGCTTTTAAGTTGGCCCTCCTTCCCCATCTGGGGAGAAATACTAAAATAATGGAGATCCTTCCTTGCACAGTGGAGAGATAATCGATCTGAACTGCAGAATTCTTTTGGTGAATTTACACAGCTTCTTCCCCTTTACACAACCAACCTGCGAGATGTCTAAGTCGGAGTGCAACGGAGGACGTGAGTAACCCTACGTTGATATGTTTTGTTATAGGAGTAAAGAGTATGGACAGATGGAGATTTTTATAGGGCAGCCTACGCATATTGAATTAGAAGCATATATTGGACAGCATCCTCTGGGGCTTGTTCCAAAAATTAGTAGAACTGATTAGTAGTGGGCGTTCAAATAAACAGGTTTGTTGGGCTCAACAAAGGATGGGCAACTTGTAGCCCCACTGTTAGAAGATTGGACAGAACTTTGATGTTACAATAGCTGTTTGAAATAAAATCCTGTCACTCTAGTAAAGAAGTTAAAGTAAGGCATTTGTGGCACAGTTTGAGATTGGAATGATACCGGAATAATAGAAGTGTATAGATTTGATAGTAAAATCAATAGGGGATATACACTGGGACAGAAATGCAAGAGAAACTTATAAATAGATTGACCTCATAGAGGCCTTCAGCTTGCATTGGCTGAAGCATGCTGTGTTGTATTTTACATTAACTGCTTCTCTTTTTTTCAGAAATTTTTTTTAAAAGAGGAGATTAAAGTTATTTTGCCGCTTCACTCACACTTGTACACAAATTTCAAATAAGACGATGGGGTCCTATTTAATTCCCTCCTGTCTCTTGTCGCCATACTCTTCCTTTGCAGCATTGGGCTCTCCAGAGGCACCACCCCAATCAGCAGCCGAGGCTTTTGTGGAAGCATCAGGCCAGGCCATAGCATGGACGCTTACGAGCGGGGGTTCAGATACATTGGGCTCGACTGGCAGCATTGTTCAGAAGAAGCGTCAGCAGAGCAAGCATAAGCCCCAGGGCTCCAACGTGGTGCACCGTTCACCACGAGCCCTCTTCTGTCTACGTTTGAACAATCCCATCCGCAGAGCGGCTATCAGCATAGTAGAGTGGAAGTATCCTCAATTTGCAAATCAGGAAAGGAAGAAAGGAGCGGGGGGGGGGGAGGAAATCCTGTTTGATACCTTAACTTGAACGTCTTCCAGACCTTTTGACATCCTCATCCTTATGACAATCTTTGCCAATTGTGTGGCCTTAGGAGTCTATATTCCTTTTCCAGAAGATGATTCCAATGTCTCCAACCACAACTTGGTGAGTGCCTTTCCTCAAGTTATGAGTGGAAAGGAAGTAGATGTGTGAGCAGTGAGAAGAGCGCGTGGACTTAATGAATGAAGCATGGACTTTGCACATCAGACTGAAGATCCGAGTTCCTTTACAAGGGTTTAAAGTGTAGAATTGAGAAGGGCCTCTGGAAGACCTCTGGAGCCTGAAAAATTGCTGCTAAGCAATTGTGTTAGAAGGATCAACAGACACCCAAAGACAGATTCCTGCAAATTTAGGAAGCCTGATTTTGACTTCTGCTTCCCGGTTCTAACGCTACTGTGTTAACTATAGTTCCTTCCCAAAAATCCTGCACAACAGCCTCTTCACTCCTTTCTTAATGGTTCCATCTTTACCTCTTGATTTCTGCTCAAGGCCATACCTTAATACTAATTAAAACTATTATCTCCTAATAGGCATTAATCTACCCATGTGACTCATGGCAGCTGAGGAGACAGTTTCCCTTCTCCACTGCCAAGTCAGATCAAAATCTTAATTATCGTAATAGATTAGCATAAAAATACAAAATTTAAAACTAGTATATAATTTTTAGTTATGCAAGTATCTGAAAAAGCAATTTTTGTATTTAATGTTTTTATCCCTTTTATAGTTTTTAAAAGACTCATTTTAGATTTATTTTTTTATATAATATAGTGATTTTAAAAATGTTTTAACCTTGTTTGTGTCATTTTTTAAAAATTGTATTTTTTATGCTGATCTACAAGTGTAATAAATATTTGAGTTGACCCCAATGGACATACCACTCTGGTTCTGGTCACTCTGACCAAAAGCTTTCAAATGCAGCTGTTCATCTGCTTATTGCAGCTGGGGTCAACACTAGAGTTGGAATAAACTCTAGAACTCTCAACTTCCTTGGAATAAATCCCAAATAATCCATTGACAGAAACTGGAGATGGTGATTGCTTGTCTCTCTGAGGCAAAATTCAGAAACACCTGTAAGGTCAAGCACAATCCAATTTCCTAATCAGTTTTGGTTGTGTGTGTGTGTGTNCAGAATTCCCCAGCCAGCGAATGCTGGCTGGGGAATTCTGGGAGTTGAAGTCCAGACATCTTCAAGTTGCCAAGGTTGAAAAACACTGCATTAAGCCAACCAACCAATCTTTTCTTGTTAGAGAAAAGTTCCTGGAGGAATCTCATTCTTCACTTGCAAAGAAGTATTGCACATTCCTCTCCTTTATTTTTTTTAAATCATGCAATATTTATAAGAATATTTCAAGGTGAAGTTTATTTTTTTCATACAAAGGTACCTTTGCAGCATTTTATTGGCTGGGAGCACAAGAAACCCTGTGATTATTTCCTTGCCTGAGTAGGTGCATATTTCTGGCTGCTGCAACTTTAGCTGGAAGAATCCTAAGAAGTAAAAACTAATGTATTAACTATAAATTAACTATATTTTTATGGCAGGTTGATAAAGTATTTTGTTTCTTTGTTTCCCTTACTGGGAATAATAAGTTTGTTATATTTATTATTTCTTAACCACCTATCTTTTTGAGATATCCTCTTTTATAAAAACAGTTACACTATAATTGTTACAGTAAGCAGAACCAATTGCAACTACCGGTAATTAAAATTTACAATTTTAAAGGCTTTGAGGAACAAAAGGGTTGTAGCTTGAATTTGCAAATGCTAGGTACTGTAGATGCATTTAGAATTTTATAATTGCTTAGTGTTACTTTTATTGGGACTGCAAATGTGTGATTGATGTTATGCAATTTTAACTTCTAGTTAATTTTTATTTTATTGTGTCTAAGATTGTTGTAGATATTAGAGTAAAGGTGAAATTGATTAAATCTTTGTAAGTATATTTGTAACAGTTTTCTCTATAAAATGCCCTCTTCCTGGCAAGCATTCATCTACCTTCGTTGTTTTTTTTCAGGAGCACTTAGAGAAGGCCTCCAATTGCAGGATTTAGATATGGGCAAGATGGTCTTCCAGGTAAATGAACCCTGAAGCAGATAAACAAGGTTTGGATGGTGTTTGTACCACATATGGAACTGTAAACTAACTAAATGTCCTTTAACCTAACATAGAAACCCAGCCCGTGTAATTGGTTTATGGTTTAGCACATCCATTCAGTAAGCTATGGGTAAGCAGGTCATACAGATACAACCCTTGAGTTAGAATTCCAGAATGCACTGTTCTAGAAAATCAGCAAGCAGATAAATTCAGGCAAAGCTACTTGGAAAAGGAAGGGTAGGTGCAACGGACTAATATAGCAATAGCAGTTAGACTTATATACCGCTTCATAGGGCTTTCAGCCCTCTCTAAGCGGTTTACAGAGTCAGCATATTGCCCCCAACANTGTTCTGTTGATGTGCTTATGTGTATAAAATAAAAATTCAAAAATAAACAAATAAATTCACTTCCTAATTCAGATGCATTTCATTCATATCCTGGCTTTCTTCTAGGAGCAAAACGTGAGCGGAATCCTCAATGTATCCTCACGGCAACCTCATAAAGTAGCTTGGATTAAGAGAAAGCAGCTCTCTTAAGGTCACCTCCTGAGCTTTTATGGTCAAATAGTGACTTGTATCTAGGTGCTATTGTCCCAGCAATAATCTCAAGGTTAAAAACGTGCGCGCTCTTTCCAAGTTATAATCCCACGAAACAGTGGAAGCATCCGCATTTGCATCATTTCTTCCCAATGATTCTTATTCATATCTCATTTTCATTTGTGGAGAGGGGAAAACAAAGGAAAACGTCAATGAACGCAGAAGTTAGACGCATTGGTCTCTCTAGATGATATTTATGGTTCGGCTATTTATGGTTCTGCTATGCCCTTTGTAAAACAAGCGGGGACGCAGAGCATGCCGGGGGTTGTAGTCTTTCTGTGTTATTAAGCAAGCAAGGGGAGGAGGGCAGCTAGAAAGCGGGCAATTAGGAGCAGCTGTCTCCTAGCAACTGAAACCTCGTAATGTCAGCCAAATCTGCCTTAGGCTGAAAACATTTTCCCTCAACTGCATCAGGTTATAACCTTCCACCACTTATGAGAAGTAAATTAAACGCGGCCTAAAGTGATTGCTAAAAAGGCCACGATCGCTTCCTGTTAAGATATGTGATTGGACAGCATTGCAGTTTAATTAAAAATGCAAATATTGGCCAGCTATCAAACCTGGCGGCCACACACACTGTGTATGACACGCATACATAACAGGCTGGGATGGAGAGTGAACGCCAAGGTAGTTTAAAACAGCCCTCATGAAATATGTTGATGCCTCAAAGCTGGAAAATAAACTGCTTGATTAACACGGAGTTTCTCTTGCTCATTTAATGGAACCATTAAGCCAGTGTTTTTCAACCTTGGCAACTTGAAGATGTCCGGACTTCAACTCCCAGA